ATATAGGGCATTGTGGAGCGTTTTCTAGTTTTTTAAAAATTTTGATGTTTTTAAATAATCCAAAAAAATCCTTTAAAAAACTATGTTGTACGAAATTGCAATACAAACAACTTTCGCCTTAGGGTGTTTGATAAATATTCAATCAAACTCGAGGGAAAAAAAATGATCAATGGTATTGCACGCTCTTACAAAGTTGTACCATAAAACTCATTATACAACATACATACATTGTATTCAAATACAACGTACCTTGTATATTGTATTTGTTTACAACATACATACATTTTTTTTTTTTTTAAGACTGTAAGTCGCCCTTGGTTCGAGGTTGAACAATATGTTGCTATACTATCCAGTAAATATATTTCGTGTCTGAGCCCATATTTTTTCATACGAACTTGGTCACTGCTCTTCTTAAGCGGGTTAGTTGTCTCAAAGAGATTTTTCAAAACATTATTTTGTACAAGATCGCTGTTATAATGAAGTTGTTTATAACAAGGGCACTTCCTACGAGATAAGTATGTAGCCCCTTTCATTTTGAGATTTATTTTATTACTGTTAACACTAGGTTATCACCATGGTCCCTCGGAAGACCCAGTGCAGCAAGTTTAACTCATAGAACCCTTATGGCTTCCAACTTTCCTCGCCAGTTAACGCTTGGCTGGGTTGTTGGAGGGTGGTCAACCCTATATTTTCGTTCCTCAGCTGACCTTCATGTCCACTGCTATAAAAAATATTAGTACTGCCTCCTCGATTGCCTTTATGCTCTAGTCATTGGCCCGTATAAACCACATGTTCCCCCGCCGACCGAAAATGAGCTTTCCGGTGAGTACGGGGTGCATTTGGCGGGGGCGCGCCGACCGACAGCCAACCAGTGAGTCCAGTAGCACAAATTTCGAGCACTAACTTTGGCGATTGTTTGCGTCCCGAATAATGCACCAAAAAATCTGAAAATTTGTGATCTGATAAATTAGGTCGAGATCTTTCCAATAAAAAAAATAAAAAAAAAGTAAAAAAAAATAAAATTAGATAGTTAAATAATTGACGCGTCGAATCGGCGCATTTTTTATTTTTGTCACTTCGCCACCTATGGATCACTGGAAAAATGCCCTAACTTTAGTGATTTTTTGTGCTCAGAACATGGCAAAACAACTTTTGAAAATTGGTATCCTAATAGATTAGTTCGTGATCTTTTGAGAAGAAATAACAAAAAAAAAAAAAAAAAAAATTGACGATGAAATAAATGGTGGCAATGATTCAATAAAATTTTCATGTTTGTCACTAAGCCGGTCCTCCACACGGTCCTACCGGTAGCCCTCATTACCGTGTGCTACCGGCCCCCCTAACTCTTTAACGTCGGGGGGCCTGGTGGTATAAGTACTGTGAGGTTGTTTGCGAAGAGCAAGGTGACCGAGATCAAGTGCTGAGAGATTTGTGGGATGTTGATTTTCTATACTTGCAGGCTGGATCGAATTAAGGCGGTCAGGACCTCCATAACGACGACGAAGAGGAGGGGTAATTGGGTCTCCTTGTTTGAAAAATTGTTGGAGAGGGAATGAATGAAAGAGGTGGTCATTGATCATAATGTTTGTCGTTGCGGTTTTATGGAGGAGGTTCACCCATTGGGAGCAACCTGTTGGTTGGTGCTTTCGCTACTATTTTGTAGGGGTTGGGAATAAGAGATATTAGGTAGTAGTTGTGTATATTACTTATGTTCCCCTTCCTACAGAGCAGTGTTGTAACACCCTGACCAATCATTCCTCAAAAAGTTCACTTTTCGAATATACAACAGAAAGTCTTCGTGTAGCTCTCGCCAGAAGAAAACCTAAAACTCTTTTGGGAAAGAATCAAGCCCCAGGGTTTTTTCGTCGTCCATTTGCCTTAAGGCTGTCCAAATCTCCTCCTCTTTCAGTGAGACGTCCAATGCCACGTTTTGCGAGGCGATGAGATGGGAGGAGATGACATTTGCCAAGGTCATCCGTTAGTGTGTGTTTGTTTCCAGTGATGGGCTATGGAAGTGAAAAGGTTTTTGTAGCAGTCTGTGACATAGTCTACTATTTGCTAGGTGTTGCGCGCAATAGATTTATCATGGAGAAACGAGTGGCGGAGGGCTGCCATGGTGTTTTGCCTGGCCCCGACTTTTGCTTTTGTGAAGAACTGCTTTGCCATAGTCCCTTTTGTCCGGTCTTTTTAATATTCGTACGGATTTTCCAGCCCGGGGCTTGCTGATCCAGGCGCTATTACAGTAGACCTCTGCTTTTCGAAGTTTGTTGAAAGTGTATGTGTCCATCGGGTGTTTGGAGAGCTCTTTGTCACATTCTTCGAGATCTAGCATGAATGAGCATGTCCAAAATCGCTTTTTTTTCTCTGGCGTACTTTACCGAGTACTTTGTTGCTCCCTCCCTAAGCACTGAGATCCCTGCGTTGAACCAGTGTACACATTATGCGGCCATCCTCTGAGTCCATGCAGGGCACGCTGCATGTGTTCTTCATCCTTCCAATTGTTGCTTTCTTCATCCCAAAGATGAGCCAAAGTATCCACTCCTCTTGAACCACCAGTATCCATGGCCTAAAAACGTGGAGGCACTGTATTTTTTTTTTTTTTTTTTTTTTTTTAAATGCACCCCCTGCAATGCTAGTGGTGCTGGTAGGAGCAGGCACCACTAGCACCCGGGGAGAGGCTCCATCTATTGGTGGGGAGAATCGCCTGCTGGAAAACGGGTCCAGCGTCCCATTACAGGATGAAAAAACAGAACAACTACAGGCTGGATCAAGAGGAGATAACTGTGAACCCTGCGAGCATTGATTACTCTGGCATCCAGAGGATTGACTGTGCAGGTTGCTAAGGGAGGGGAGGAAGGCACTGGTGGTTTGACATCCAACTTCGTCCAAATGATCCAGTGCCAGTCACAGGGAAAGGGGGTGTCCATTTTCAGCAAGAATTCAGGGGTTATTGAAAGTAATAGGTGGAGACAAGATTCGGTCATACTGGAGCAGCACAGGGGCCATCCGCTGAGGGAGGATGAGTCTCCAGGCTGTTTTTTTTTAATTTTTTCCTTCCAAGGCTGTTGACTCATCTTACAAATGCAAAAAAAAGAAAAGCCTTCAGCAGCATTTGTTCTCTTTTTTTTGAATTTGTACCAGTACCTCTACTCTAGGGTGTAATGTTGAGGCGAGCCCCTTCCAGGGGGATCTCGCCCTGGGTGGTTTGCTCCTCCACCCCGCCCCGATGGTCATCCGCCGAAAAGTACCAGATGGACCTACCTGTAGTGGAGGCCGTCTATCATCGGATAATAATAAAGGTTATGCTACCGGTACGCGCCAGGTTCCATTCCATTTGCACGGATTATTCACTGATATCACCGCCACCATTGATGTTGTCATCTACGAACACGATCTCCTTCTCTAATCTGTGCAGTTGAGGCCCCGCTCTTACCGGTAGGGGATAACATTAACAAACAGCCAGTTCAGAACAGGATGGCCGATCTTCCGCAAGAACTCACATCCACGGCAACAGCAACAGCAAAAGCAACAGCAAGGTTGGGCACTTCAAAGACGGGGTCAACCTTGCCCCTTCCAGTTCGGCACCTTAGACCTCTGACATCAACGGCTGTGTACGGGAAGGGGAAAGGAAGGGGAAGGGAAGGGGGAAGGAAGGGGGAAGGGAAACGGAAGCGAACGGAGTAGCAGCCGAGCGGGGTGAGACGAAGGCCACGCTTTGCACGAGAGGTAGGTTGACGTCTACGCTCCCTCCATATCCATATCCTCCTTCTATTTCCTTCCTCGTAAAGTTTTCCCCACTTTCTTTACGGCTACTCTGTTCGCTGTTTTACACTTCCATCATCCTTTTTTTTTTGTCTCTTTTTCTCCTCCAGCACGTGTGTTTTGGTCTTCTTTGCTATGCCACCAAAAAAGCATTACTGCGCCGAACAGACTGTCGTCAGACTTTCACTGACTCATCAGGAGGAGGTTGAACCCCGACAAACTGTCCATGATACCTTTTTTTTTCTTCTTCTCTGTGTGTGTGTGTGTGTGTGTGTGTGTGTGTGTGTGTGTAGCGAGAGAGAACGTGCGTGTGTGTGTGTGCGTGTGCACGAGTGTGTTGTAGCGAGAGAGAATGTGTGTGTGCGTGATATATTCTCTCTCTCTGCCTACGGTTTACCGGCCAGTTCTGTTTATGTATATATAAAATAATCCTTGTCCTATTGTCCCATATCTTTTCCTATTGTCTTTCCCCCTTTGTTTAGGGGTATTTTGTTTTGCGGACCTACTGTATGGTTCCGTTTTTTTTTACTATGGTTATGGTAGAATGTTTCTTTTGAATGAGAATCTTGTCTGCTTCGATTCCGGTTGATTCTGTCCCCTTATTTGGTCTATCTTAGGGAGGAGGGATGGCGGTGCTTCATGTGGGATTGGTTATCGGGTTATCGTTTTGCAGGCAAGTGTTTTGACATCCTGGTTGGCTTGGTTGTTTCCCGTTGTTTGGCCCTTGCGCGGGGCGGTGCTGTATGTGGGAATCGCCATGTCTTCTCCTTCTTTTTGGTTGTCACATTGTGGATTGGAGCCTTTTTTGTTTTGCTGATTTTGTCTGTACCTCGGTTGGTTTGGTCCCGTTGTTCGGGCTATCTTATGGGCGTGGCTGTGCTTTCATGTGGGACCAGCCATTCGGGTTTTTGGCATCCTGGTTGGTTGTTTCCCGTTGTTCGGCCCTTTGAGAGGCGGGGCGGTGCCTGTATGTGGGAATCGTCATTCAGGATTGTCTTCTCTTTTTTTCTTGGTTGTCACACTGTGGATGGTCGCTTTTTTATGTCATGTCCTAGGTGGTCTTGTCCCGTTGTTTGGCCTTTGACGGAGCGGGCGGTGCTTGCATGTGGGACTTGTCATCTGGGATCTGTCTTGTTTCCCTCTGTTCTATTTGTTTCATTTGGCTGTTCCCTTCCTCTCTTCTTTGCCT